TTACAACAGGTTTAAACAAGAACTTGGTGTTAATATTGTTGGCATTGATCGTGGGACACATATTGTGCACAATAAACTTCAATCTGCTGTGGATAGTCTTCCAAATAAACTTGAAGCTCTTGTTGTAAAAATTCAATTACAGGTATACCGCAAAAACAACCGTACTGCAAAAACCACAATGTTGGCTTAAGTAGCCTAGCATGTAGAAAAAGATTCAGGATTCAAAAAAATTGATATATTATGATTGTTAATATGTCATCCTATAAATTAAATTAGTTTTTTATGGTTTTTTTATATGTCAAATACTTTGGTATTTGCACTAGAATAAAAATTTCAATTACAAAAATGTGCAGTTTTTTTTTGTTGTGTAGGAGCCTAGAAGCCGTATCAGAGAATAAGTTAGCAAAGTATAGCTTTTCTATTACCTATGGATTATAACTAGATACTAAAAAAAGTTTGTTTTTCTCAGGTAGTTATAAACCTTTATAACGCCCTCATAAAGAAAGGAAGTATTATTGTTGTCTTAGGGGTACATTATAGAACTCACTTTATAGATCATGTTTTGAAATAAAAAACAGCAACAATATATTACCATCGTATTTGATTTTTTATAAAGAAAATAATGTATATTTATCTTAAAAACATATTTGAACACAGCAATAATAACACAGACTAAAATAACTGCAGACCTAATAACATTATTAGAACAATAGGTTACTACAACAATGTTAGGATAACATAGATAAATAATAATAGTACTTTATTTCATTACTTTAATTCAAAAAAAGATTATTGATTGTCGTTGCATTTGTTATAATGGTTGTATATCAGTCTTTTAAATGTGGAGATGTGCTGGTTTGCTGGTAAAAGTATAACTAGTTTAACACCATCAACTTTGTAACTCACTTTGCTGCAAATTGAACGGAGAACATCAAGACAATTAGGACATTGCTTTAGTTCAAAAGCTTGACATTTCCTTTGTTTGCAAAAACATTCAACTTTATATTTAATAAATTCTTCTTTAGCTTTTTCTTTCTATTTTTGGCATCCACCTATGCTGTTATCCTTCGTTGTTTCTGTTCTTTTATATCTTTCACTTTCGCTGCAACATCTTTTGCACGCATTAAACCATAGACCTGAGTAAGATGAGTTGATATTTTTTCAAGGATTGGTTTGATTTTCTTAAAAGTTAGCAGATCAGGAATATTTTCTAATTGAAGGCTTTGCTAAGCCGTTTCTCTAATCAAGATTTGAGACTGGTCAAACTTATCTTTCCAGCAACTTGCCGAACCTTTCCATTTTACCAAATTGTGACCTTTCTCGCAAAAGATGCCCTGTATGAGCTGAGTTTTTGGTTTTATTTTTTATGTTATTTTTTTCTAACTCTATTTGATTAAAAAAGTTATTTTTAAACATTTTAGAGTACATTTGTCGCTTACAGAATATATCTAAATACTAAAAAACAACTTTCAAGTAAAAATTTAGATTTTTCTCTAGGTTCATACACAAAGTAATTTTAATAAATTCTTGTAATAGACCTCACAGTTCCGATAATTTAGTGCGCGCGCACATTTAACAGTACGTCATTGTTCCTTTACATTTTTTTTTTTGCATTTTAAGTAATAAATTAGGAGAAAAAAGGTTTCAAATATGGAAAATAAATTTCGGACTTCCCTTTTGACCTACACCCTGCTAAATTTGTGTTTTATTAAATTAATTAATTTTATTAAACATATAACATGGCCGATGATTAGTTCAAAATGTCGCTTAATTCACAAGTTTATATAGCATTTCAAAGAAAAAATTAGTATGTTAAAGAAAAGCATCATTTCCTTTAAAGTTAGGCGACCGAATATTACTTTAATTGTCTAGAACTTTTGATATCACGATATCCTTTAGATACAAGAAAAGAAGACAGAGAGTTATTACAAGTTGAAGCTGTCTATAGTTGCATCGATAAAAACTAGTATTTGTTTCTTAGTTTTCTTTTATAATCAAGAAGAAGATTTTAAACTTGTTAAGTATAATTTTAATTAGCCATATTGTTTATCCTTTATGAGATTCATGGTAATCGTAATAGGAACTATGATGAACCACATTAAAGAAAAAACTTGTTTACTTAGTATTTTCATAAAAGCTATTACTGATTTTTTTTAGGGTGTTATGAAATGTGAAATTGTGGCATGGATACTTTACGAAAGTTTTTTATACCTGTAGTTTTCTGTCTCAAAGAATATCTTTAATGGTGCAGCCTCTGCTACTGCTTCTTCTTCTGAATTTATAACAAATTTTGATTTTATTGTTGCACTGTGTATAACAAGACATGTTTTTAATATAACTTTTTTAATTACATAATTTTGCAAGCAAGTAATAATGATAATTTTTATAGTTTAAATCTTATTTAAGCATTAAAAGATTTTGTCTCTATAGTTAGAAATATTATTTATCAACACCTCTAAACAAGCCTAAAAATTGCATTTCAAATTATTTTAACTTGGTTATTGCTGTTTCTTTGCTAGACTATCTGAGTTTTATCTAGATTACTGAGATTAACACAATGGTTGATTGATACAATTTTGAAGTGTTATAAAGCACCTGTACTTTAGTTTCTTTTTTCTAATATTCAGTTTCTTCTAAAAACCATTGCAGAAATTCAATGTTTTTTTATACTAGTTGAGAAAACCAAATCATATTTTTTAGTGTTTTGTTTAACCAAAGACTTTATTAGGTTTATTTATTATTTCAAAATTATTATTACTCAAATTTGATCTGTGGGAAGTTTAGTTGAATTTCACTCAGCTGCCTGAATTTCAAAAATGAACTTTAATCTAATAATACTGAAACATTACAAGCAACAAACCTTTTCAAGTTTGTTATAAAAACTTATGAGTTGTGTTTTAAATAAAATTCATATACGATAAAAGTATAACTTCAAATGTTTTAGCTGCTTAATGTTAAACAGCTATTTTCATAGTCAGACATTTTTGTAAAAACATTTAGCACTGTACAGTTATTCCAATTAGTTTTTTGACTCTAAGTATTTATAAAGTTTATTTATAATTAAAAGTTATTTATAAAGTTATATAAAAAAATTTACACAGCAAAATCTTATATTAATCTTGTAAATTGTTTTCACAAATCTTGTGAAAAATTTTAACATGTATATATTGGCAAAAAATACGGAACGGAATAACATGTATACGGAAAAAAACACATACTGAAACTTTTTAATCCCTGTGTAATAAGTTCTATTTGTGTTAATAAGTGTTAATAAGCAAAACTAATAATAATAACATTACAATTTCACTGAAAGGAGGTAATCCACTGTTATTTAGGGTGGTAGTCCTCCTATCCAGTAATCCAAATAGTTAACTTACAACTAAAAGATTTCAATACTTACAAATGTGAGCAAGAAGCAATAATCGTAGATTTAAAAAAGTTAATCGAAACTTTAAGAACAGATAATGCAAACTTGACTAAGAGAGTTCTGGATTTAGAAAATTCTAAATCAAAATCTAGTTCAGCAGTGACAGGTGATTGGGCTAGTAAAGTAAAAAAAACTCCAGATCAAATGCAAATTATTAATACTATCGCAAATGAAACCAAAGAAAGAGATAAAAGAGAAAATAACTTGGTTATTTTCGGTTTAGAGGAATCAACATTAAGTGATAAAGTCAAAGCTATTGAAGAAGATAAACAAAATATTGAAACAATCATGAAAAAGTTGAAGGTCAATGTCAAAATAAAAAAGGTTATCAAAATAAAGTCAAAAAATGAATTTAAAGCTCCATATATTTTTGTTTTAGATGATAAATTGGAACGTAATTCTGTTTTAAAAAATGCAAAGGAATTGAAGAAAGATAAAACATACGAAAGTGTATTTATAAATCCTGATTTGACTGAATCTGAACGGTACAAATCAAAGCTATTAAGAGAAGAGTGTAAAAAACTAAATAATGACAATATTAACAAGGCAAACTTTTACTTTGGTATTAGAAATGACAAAGTTGTAAAAATAAAAAAATAGCAACTAAAAAAAGACTTAAACCACATTCGATGCTTTAACTGTTTTTCGATGAAACTAACAATAAAATAAATCTGTTTAGTGGTGGAGGTCAAAATCTTAACAAGTTGCTGAGCAATAAGAGACAGCTAATGCAATAAACTGATGATTTGGTTTACAAATGCAACGTCTCTGAATAATAAGATTGATGAGTTAAGGTTACAATGTGAAATATATAAACCGGATGTTATTTGTGTTACAGAAACTTGGTTTAAAGCAGAACCAGATGTAAATATAATAAGTTATAATATTTTTAGAAGTGATAGAAAGACTCATGGAGGAGGTGTTTGTATTTTTGTAAAACAATGTATTAATCAGTTTGAAACAAATAATTTACAGTTAAACAATAATTTTATAGAACAAATATGGACTTGTATATGTTTTAAAAATAACAAAATGCTAATTGGATGCATTTATAGACCACCAGATATATCTCATGAGTATAATAACTATGTTTTGCTATCTATTAATGCTGCTAAAATGAGTATTTATCAAAAAGAATACAGCGATCTTATTATTACAGGTGACTTCAACTATAATACAATAGATTGGTCTGATAATAATTGTCCTTTTTCAGCAACTGATAATGAATCTCAAACTAATAAATTTATTGAATGTCTTGAAGATTGTTTTCTGTTTCAATGTGTATGTGAGCCAACATTCAAAATAGTAAACTACAAATCAACTAATATTCTAGACCTTATTATCACAAACGATAAAAAAAAAAATTGTTTCAATAACTCACTCAGCTTCTTTAGGCAATGTCAAACAGGGTCATCATTTGTTAAAGTGTTGTTATCTAATGAATGATTATAAGTTTTCAACCGAACATAAGAAATCCATTAGATTATATCAAAATGAAAATTATGAACTATTTTCTTGCCATTTCAATAATGTAGATTGGGAAAATGGATTTAAAAGTAAATCTATAAATGAAATGTATGATTTATTTTTGTATCATTACAATTATGCAACTAATCTGTTTATCCCAAGAATTAATTATCAAAATAGAAGGAACAGAAACAAATGGATTACTCCTGAATTGAAACATAAAATAAGAACTAAAAACAATATATGGCTTGCTAATAAACGTAATGGCTGGAATGAGGAATCAACAAAAGTTCAGTATAATAAGCTAAAAACTAGAATAAAGAATGATATTAAGAACAATATAAAACAATTTGAAAGTACTTTAGCTAGCAAGTTTAAATCAAATCCTAAATTGCTTTATAAATATATCAATGAGAAGAAATCAGTGAAAACTCATATTCGAGCTCTGGAAATTGATAATGGGGAAATCATAAATGATCAATTCGCCATAGCTACTGAACTAAATAAATATTTTCATTCTGTGTATATTAATGATAATTGTGCAAATATTATTGAGTTTCATAATATACCTTCAAATTTATTATTAAACACAGTTTTAATAACACAAAATGATGTTCAAACTAGACTTCAAGCACTTGATAAATCAAAATCAGTCGGTTTTGATTTTGTTCATCCATATGTTTTAAAAGAATGCAGCTCGTCAATATCATACCCATTATATTTAATTTTCAAAAAATCGATGGAAACAGGTACCCTACCAGATATGTGGAAGAAGGCAAATGTAATGCCACTTTTTAAAAAAGGAAGCAAATTAAAAGCATCTAACTACAGACCAGTCTCGTTAACTTCAATACCATGTAAACTGTTAGAAAGAATAATCGCTGATTGTATCATGCAACATCTCATAAAAAATAATTTACTTTCAAAAAAACAACATGGTTTTATGAAAAGCAAGAGCTGTCCAACAAACCTATTAGAATACCTAGATATTTAAACAGATGCGTTCCACAATAGAACACCGGTAGATGTATTGTACACAGATTTTAAAAAAGCTTTTGATAGTGTTTCACATAAAAAGTTATTATCCAAGTTATTGACTTTTGGTATTTCTGGTAAACTTCTTACGTGGATCGTCTGTTTTTTTAGCTAACAGAAAACTAAGAGTGGTTTTAGGTAAAAGTGTGACAGATTGGGTTAATGTACTTAGTTGTGTACCACAAGGGTCTCTTCTAGGTCCTCTCCTTTTTTTGGTATTGATAAATGATTTACCAGAAAATTTTATTAATGAATGTCGTTTATATGCTGATGATAATAAGATAATTGCACCTATTTCTTCTCAAAATGATTCACAATTGTTTCAAAATGATATAAATAAACTTGACGAATGGTCAACAAAATAGAAATTAGGATTAAATTTTGAAAAATGTAAAATTATGCACTTTGGTTCAAATAATAACGAATATTCATATTTTATGAACAATAACAATACATTAATGGAAATTGAAAAGTCAAAATTAGAAAAAGACATTGGTGTTTATATATCAAGTGATTTAAAATGGGCCAAACAAGTAAAATATGCAGCTAATAAAGCAAATAGTATACTCTCACTACTAAATAATACATTCAAGTACAAGGATAAAGATCTAATAAAAACACTGTATTGTGCATATGTTAGACCAAATTTAGAGTTTTCAATTCAAGCATGGAGTCCATATTATACAAAAGATATTAATGAACTAGAAAAAGTCCAACGATGAGCTACCAAAATGATACCGGAGCTTAGACATCTTGAGTACAAAAAAAGATTGGAAATTTTGGGTTTGACTACTTTGAAGACTAGAAGGCTAAGGTGCGATTTAATCCAGCAATTCAAAGTATTTAAAGGTATTGAAATCATTGATATTAAACAAAATCAAACAATGAACTCTATTTGCTCATCAGGTCCTGCAGCTAACATTAGAGAAGCAAAACATAGAATGAAACCTGAGTTGATCAGAAATTGTTTGAATAGGCAATATTTTTTCAGCAATAGAGTTGTCGATGGATGGAATAGTCTACCAGCCGAAGTTGTTCAATCTACTACAGTTAAAAGCTTAAAATTAAACTTGCAATCGGTCGACTTAGAAGCAATAACAAACAAGATAAAAACCAAGAAAGCTTACTATTAACGTTTTTTATTATTTAGTGACTGAACTAACTTGTTCATTAATTAATTTATACCGGCTGTCATAGATATTGCCTGGCTCTTTATCTCAACAGCATTAATTAATAATAATAATTGTACATTACGACAACTGAGTTTTTTCAAAAAATAATTTTTTTAGTTTGCAAAAATCATATTTTGAAGTTTGGTTTCCATTTTATCAAGGTTACAAGTCGTATAAAGAATTAAAACATATTTATAGAATACACTCAATCCGATCAAAATCCGGTCCCCCTCCCCCCCTCTCAAAAAAAATAGGGAAGCAGAGGGAGAAGAATTTTTTTTTTTTTTGGACTTACCCAAAAAATTTCCTGTAAACGCCCCTGCTTTTGTTTCTGATCACTTACCTCAAGTTTGTATTTGTCCCAATTTCAATAAATTATTTATACCACGCAGACACAATTTATATAGCAGGAGTTTTAAAAACTTTAATACAGAAAACTTTAAATTTGAATTATCAAAAATTGACTGGGACGATTTTACTAAGTCCAATGATTCTAAAACATGTTTCCAAACGTTTATTACTGAAACAACATTGATTTTAGATCGTTTCCCCCCACTTAAAAAAATCAGTATAAAAAACTTCAAACGTTGATTCAAACCCTGGATTACAAAAGGAATTATAAAATCTATTCAAGCGCGCAATCTTTTCCAAAAAAAAATGTCAAGATCTGAAGATCTTATTAATAAAAAAAAATTTGAAAGTATTTTTAAAAGATATAAATATATGATAGTTAGATTAATCAAACTTAGTAAAATAAACCATTTAAAATTTTTTTTTTCGGAAAATGTAAAAAATCTTCGCAAACTTTGGAAAGGTATTAACACTCTAATTAATGTAAAAAATTTAAATAAATCATCTCCCAACTGTTTGCAAGAAAATAATACATATATAACTGACCGGACTTTAATCTCTGAATCATTTAACAATTATTTTATAAATGTTGCTCATAAACTCAAATCCAATATTTATTTATCTTACATTAACTAATCAAAAATATCTTAAACATCCAAATTTACATAGTTTATTATTATCTCCAACAAATATTTCTGAAATTTCATCTCTTATATCTAAATTGAATCCAAAAACATCATTAGGTTGAAACAGTATTCCCACAAATATTCTAATAGATTTTAACTACGATTTTTCAAATATTCTTTCTAAACTATTTAATATCTCATTTATAAATGGAAAATTTCCTGATATTTTGAAATTATCTTGCGTTATTCCAATATTTAAAAATGGCTCTAAACTTTCATGCACTAACACAGATCTATTTCTCTTTTATCTAATATTAGTAAGCTTCTTGAAAAACTTATGTATTCTAGAGTGTACTCTTTTCTAAACTCATTTAATTGTTTAAATGATTTTCAATTTGGTTTTTGATCAAAACATTCTACTTGCCATGCATTAATAAGTATAACGGAAAAAATCAGGAAAGCTCTTGATACTGGTCATTTCGTTTGGGGTGTTTTTATTGATTTACAAAAAGCTTTCAATAAAGTTGACCATATTGTTTTAATTTCTAAATTAAAACATTATGGAATTCGTGGTATTGTAAATGACTGGTTGTCATGGTATTGTAAATGACTGGTTTCGATTTTATCTTGCAGATCGAAAACAATTTGCGAGTATTAATGTTTTCAATTCTAGTTATAAATCAGTTTTGTGTGGTGTTCTAGTTATAAATCAGTTTTGTGTGGTGTAGAACAGAACCTCAAGGTTCTGTTCTAGGTCCTCTTTTGTTTTTAATCTATGTTAACGACCTAACTCAGATCTAAAAGGTAAAATTCACTGGTTAAATGCGAACCTAATATGTCTCAATACCGAAAAAACTGAACTAATTTTTTTTTTCATCTCCAAGAAAAAACAATTTCTTTAAAAATGTTGAAACCAAAATCAAAATTAATAATAAACTGCTATATCCTTCAAGAGTTATTAAATATCTTGGTGTATTAATTGATTGTAATCTTTCATTGAACTTTCATATTCATGAACTAAGCAAGAATCTCGAGCTAACGGTATGCTTTTAAACTAAATGTACCGTCTTTTAAAACCCAAAAGTATGGTAAACGTTCTATTGTTTATCAGTGCGTTTGTGAATGGAACAGGAGCTTTGCGTACATTTTGAATGAGTCTAAAAAAATATATCCTAAATACCTTTAGTCCATCTTGGACAATATCAATTTAAAAAAATTCTAAAAAACATTTTATTCTAACTATTTGGCATTATTATCCTAAGGATTTAAATATTGTTTTGGTTTTCTTTTCGTAATTATACAATTACACTGGCCAACAAAAAAAAATTTTTTTTTTGCTGCCGAGGATATTTTTACGAATTTATAGTATATCGGGTGTGCTAATTTCAGAAATGACATTAGTTTTCCACGATTGGCTCTAGTTCTTGAGATACAGGGTGTTCCAGATATATTCTTATACAAATATCTTCGTTCATGCATATTTTACAGTAAACTAGTTTTATTTCTTTTTAAAGGGCATACCTTTATATATATATATATATATATATATATATATATATATATATATATATATATATATATATATATATATATATATATATATATATATATATATATATATATATATATATATATATATATATATATATATATATATATATATATATATATATATATATATATATATATATATATATATATATATATATATATATATATATATATATATATATATATATATATATATATATGTATATATATATATACTTTTTCCTGTTTTTAGAACACAATGAGTTCTTCACGAAGAGGATGTTTGAATAACCCCAATGCATTCTGCCACATCTGTGGTGAATATTGCCAGGAGAGCCAAAGAAGAAATATTACTAACTTTGTGAAGCAAGCATATCTGGCACACTTTGGAATGAAACTCGGAGACCAAGATAAGTCTTGGGCTCCCCATATTGTATGTAAAACGTGTGTCGAAAATCTACGTCAGTGGAAAAATGGACAAAGAAAAGGTTTAAAATTTGGTGTGCCTATGGTATTTGTTTGGTTAATGTGAAAGGTATCAATCGTTTCAAGAAACGTAAATTTAAGTATCCGGATTTGGAATCAGCAAGGCGACCTGTACCACAGTCAGACGATGTCCCCATTCCAGTGTTCACTACACTCCCAGATCTAATAGTGTCTGATGAAGAAGATATGCAGAATTTGGTGTGCAAACATGCAGATAGTGGTAGTGAATATGAAGACAGTACTTCTAAACAGCAACAGTTCTCCCAGGAAGAGATCAATGATTTAGTACGAGACTTAAGTCTATCCAAGCAAGATTCTGAGCTTTTAGCATCTAGACTAAGTGAAAAGAACAGTTTGAAGGCCGAATGTAAAATAACTTTTTTTCGGACAAGAGAGGCAGCACTTCTTCCATATTTCATTCAAGAAGAAAAAATAGTATACTGTAGGAACATCCCTGGACTCCTCCTCCAAATGGGGTTACCTGAATACCGACCAGAAGATTGTTTATAGATAGTTCGATGAGAAGTTTGAAGTGTGTTTTATTGCACAATAGCAATAGTTATGCATCCATCCCAATACTTCACTCAACAAAACTGAAAGAGGAATATGAAAATATAAGAATGATGTTGCAGAAGCTTAGATACAATGAGCACCAGTGGTCTATATGTGTTGATTTAAAGATGGTAAACTTCTTACTAGGGCAGCAAAGTGGATATTAGGGCTAAAGAAGACCACTGGGATAGTAGGGCTAAAGAAGACCACTGGAAAAAGGTGGTATGGCCTGCTAGGGAAAA